TGCCCCACCGTAGGTTAAAGGTGACTTGCTTTTTCATTGTCCATCCATTCATCCATTTTCTGATCCGCTTAATCCTCACAAGTGTCGCGTGGTGCTGGAGCCGATCCCAGCCGTCTTTGGGCATTAGCTGCGTGCACTGGTTGGGGCACACCCTGAGCCGGTTGCCAGCCAATCGCTGGGCAAACACACAGATGAACACCCATCCGCGCTCACACTCACACCCAGGGACAATTTAGTGTGTTCAATCAGCCTACCAGGCATGTTTTTCGAACGTGGGAAGAAACCGAGTACCCGGAGAAAACCCACGCAGGGAGAACATGCAGCTTTTTCATTGTATTGTGTGTGTGTGTGTATGGCATCTGATTGTGGTATAGAATTACTATGATATGCTGTAGAGTGCATTTACATGAGCATCACACAAGATTTCTGAGGGAATTTCTTGTTAAAAATAATTTACAAAGAAAATTCCGCGGATGCAGAATGACATGAATTATGTGTCTGATTCAAATACGTGAATATACATATTTCGTCTCACTCTGAAGGATGACACAATCTTAAATGATGCTTTGCATTTAAAGAGACAATCTAAATGCCACAGATGATTACATAATCACACTGGGAACATTGCCGCAATCATACATAATTCTTGGTATTATAACTCCAGCATGATTGTTTCTGAGAGGGTTTATCGACATGGTCAGGAAAATCACAAATTTCCACATGATTTCTGAGGGAATTTCTTGTTAAAAATAATTTACTAAGAAAATTCCGCTGATTCAAATACGTGAATAGACGTATTTCGTCTCACTCTGAAGGATGACACATTCTTAAATGATGCTTTGCATTTAAAGAGACAATCTAAATGCCACAGATGATTACATAATCACACTGGGAACATTGCCGCAATCATACATAATTCTTGGTATTATAACTCCAGCATGATTGTTTCTGAGAGGGTTTATCGACATGGTCAGGAAAATCACAAATTTCCACATAGTTTATATAACAAGTAAAACTAAGCTGCATTTGATCATAAGATGGTTTTGCTTTCAAGTAGGAGTGGGAAACCTGTAGACCGTGACCTCCCATGCTATTCTAAACATGAAAACTTCAAAGAAACTGCTGTCAAAAAAATTATCAACACATGTTAAAATATGTGGGATGTTTATATGGCAACAGAGTGAAAAAGTGGTTGCCATATCCTCCTTACAGCTTCCGTCAAAAGTCCAAAAAGAGGCATGTTATGTCAGTCGAAGACTCAATACTGCCCATTGGTGCGAATGTGTGCGTGAAAGGTTGTTTCTCCCGATAGGTGCTAGTCCAGGGTGTAACCCGTGTCTCGTCCCAAGTGCTGCTGGAATAGGCTCTAGTTATTTTGTGAACTAATGTGCATTGGTGCTACAGAAAACTGATTCTGGACTGTAACATCCTATATATGAATCATTTTCAAATAATTCAAAAGAACAGGAAAGACATGCCTAACAGAATTTCCTTTCGAAAAAAATATTTGTTTATTGGCAGTTATCATCCATTATCTGAACTGCTTATCCTCATGAGGGTCGCGGGTGTGCTGAGCCGATCCCAGCTGTCTATGGGCAGTAGGTGGGCTACACCCTGAACTGGTTGCCAGCCAATCGGAGGGCACAGAGAGACAAACAACAATTCACACTCACAATCACACCTGATTGAACACTCTAAATTTTCCCTTGGTGTGAGTGTGAGCGCGGATTGTTGTTAGTCTCTGTGTGCCCTGCGATTGTCTGGCAACCAGTTCAGGATGGACCCCGCCTACTGTGTAAAAACTGGCGCGGCTTCATTGTCAAGCAGAGGCATTTCTAACTGCGACCGTCTGCGAGAATACCAAAAGAAAGAAAATGCCACCCATGTGCACAGTTAGACTGCAGTTGATGCTAGACTTGCATTGGGTCCTAAAAAGAGGGCCCTAGGAATTTAAAAGAGTGGCTATTTCAGCATTGAAGACATGTATCCACATTTCTAGGGAGTCACCAGTAAATTACAGCGATATTTATGTCGAATAACAAAAAATATATTTTTTAGATCCCCGCATCTTTTTTTTTTCTTTCATAAATTGTGGACGGATCAGGGAGGAGTTCCTTCCGGAAAAGACTTGTTTAGTTGAGCTCAAGTGCAGTTAGCATCGAACGAAGGGGTGACATTGCCACATGTGGAGCACTGCATGTCTTTTTATTGGAACACCACAGATTCTAATCATGAAACTAAATGTGGCCCACATCAAAATATTTCGAGAAAAAATTTGAAACATATCACTTTTAAGGTTTTAAAAAAATGAAACTTAATGCAACAAGCTATCACATTTTTTTCCCATGTTCTTTTTAACGTAAAAAAATAATGAAAATTTGTCACAATTTGCAAAAAAGAATGCTACAAGAGATGCCACACTTGTTAATTTATTTATCAAATTTACTTTTGGTTTGTCACTGATAAAACCAAGCTAACATTGAGACTTTTCTTCTTTAAATCTTTTTAACTGATTTACCTCGATGTAAACCTACAGTTTCCAACAGCTTAAGTTGTATTTTTTTGTGAATTGGCCCCCCATCTTCTTTTGAGATGCCACCTCATTAGAGAATACGGCAAAGAGTAAATGTGATCAGGACCATAGAACCTGGAATGGAGCATATAGGAACATTTGGCACGCAGTAGCTACACACCTCCATGCTGGTTGTTCAGTACAATATGGGTAAGTCGAATAATAGAAATATAATAATAATAATAATAATAATAATAATAAAAAATAATAATAATAATTAAAAAAAAAGAAGAATGGAATGTCACCCTCAAAGTGAGTTACTGTGGTCCTGTTTTTACTAGACCTTGAACATTGTCTGGTACATAAAGGTTTTATGATGACAGCGGCAGTAAAGATTTATTTCCAGTGTACTATTTCAGAAAAAAAATGGACTTACCGATCAATACAGAGCACGGTAACTATTCCCACGGTGGTGAACTGGTTGCTCACATCCACCACCACCACCGCCTTGCACATGAAGTTCCCGAAGACCCACTGCCTGTCTCGGACCAGCTGATGGATGTTGAAAGGCATCACCAAGAGGAAAAGCATGTCTGCTATGGCCAAGTTGAGCACGTAAATGTCCGACACCATTTTTTTCTTGCACGCAGCCACCGCGTAAATGACCAAGCCGTTGGCCAGAACTCCCACGGCGCACAGAATGCCATAAATGGACGGAAAAATGTGCATGAAAGTGGTGATGTCGATGAAACTCGAGGATGATGCGGTTGCGTTTCCACATGACGGCTCGGTTGAGTTGTGGCAGGAAATGTCCGTGTCATTCATCTTTTTTTGAAAGCGGGGATCCTTGCGCTTCTCTCGCCAGCTGGTTCAAGTGCGCGCCGCGCGTCCTACAACTCTCCTCGACCGCTCCTTCGCTCAAAGGGGCACAATGTGATGTGAAACAGGCGGGAACTCAACAAAATACAAGAACAGCGTCGGTCTTCGAGGCATGTCTCATCTGTCAGGGCCAACAGTGGAGCGAGCCAAGACTCAGGAGGCGCGCGTGGTGGACTCTTCAGGGTTGTGCGCAACAAAGAACAAGTTCCCTCCCTTCCAACGTGACAGCCTCTGTCGTTTATCAAGCAAATCATCAAGGAAGTCACGCTGGACCTTTCAATCCAGTCAAGTAGTCCATCGTTCTTTTTAATTTATTTGTTCTTTTCTGATGAGATCAACCAAGGGAGTTTTTAAGCATTGTCTGAAAATAAACACAGTACCAATGTAAACAATACAGTACTTAATAATACTATATATAATACATACTACAAATGGGATAGGCAACAGGCGGCCCACGTGTCTCATATGGACCGCGACTGCACTCTGAGTGGCCTCTTGATTAATCCGCCCCTCCCCCGCAATTTCAAAAATGTTTCACCCCGCCCCCCCAAAAAAAAATCGTCCCAAAAGTTAAAGATTCTTTATATGTTTTCCACAAAAAAACTATAAATTTGATAAATTTTATATAAACATTCTGTCTGTTTTGCTTGTGTTTCAGCTCCAACTGGAGTGAAGGACGAATCCCTCCAGCAGGCGCCTGTTCCGCGTTTCCCAATCAAGTCTTACCAAGTATTTAAGGACTGCCAAGTTGCCAAGTCTCTGTCGGATTATTGACCTTGCTTGCTGTTGTGCCTCCAGTGTTGTTTTCCAGACCTCACGATATCATGCAAAGTCGCTCTCGTTTTTCATAGTTTCTTCTTTGTAAGTAGTTTATTTTTTTTTTTTTCCCCCTTGATCTTTTGTTTCGTGTCATTGGACTCGTGCCATTTCATTTGTGTATTCTCTGTGTTTTTCCTTGTACCTTGCCTTTTGCAAGCGCGTTTAGTATATTTATTGTTTTTCCTGGCTTGTTTTGTCCAGCAATTTCTGTTTGTACTTTCTGTTGGTATGCTTTTCGGTAAAATAATCACTTGGGGTTATCACAATTTATCTGAGCATAAATTTCTGAGATCCAAAATATTATTCGATTCATTTCTGAACCAGACAGTAAACGGAAAAAGAAAAACAAGCTGAATATTTTGGAAAAAAGAAAAAGAAATGAGCAAATATGCAAATTTATCTTAAATAGCATTTTCATCATACATGTGGTTAGGAAGCTTGTGGTCGAATGTGGCCCCGCCCTGTAACACTGTAACACTAATGAAAAATTGTATTTAGCCAGGGAAATAATGATTTAATTCTTTGATGTATGTTTGCTCTCGTACAAAGAAATGCTTTATTTGTATTGTTATTTATTGTACTGTTAAAAGTTGTGGTTGTTTCAACAAAAATGTCAAAGATCTGAGATAAATATGAACATAATGAACCTCAAAATAATCTTGGGAAGAGTTTTTTTCTTCACTTATAAGACCATTGTCTGATAAAAAAAAGAAACCTTAAACCGATTTCATCTCATAAGAAGACAAAATGAGCGTCATAGCACGACCCATCACCATGTTTTTCTCCAATTTAAAAACCACACCTACACCGTCAGCGCCTCCAGCAGAAGAGACTCAGAGTGAACCTAAAGCCTGTACGAGTCAAGTGAGAGCTGCATTCTATGCCACCAAAACAAGCCTCTTTGCCTCTCTCAGAAGACAATGTTGATGAATGTTAATTCCTCCATCCATTCTCCGATCTGCTTATCCTCACAAGGGTCGCGGGGGGGTGCTGGAGCCTATCCCAGCCGTCTTCGGGCAGTCGGCGGGGGACAACCTGAACTGGTTGCCAGCCAATCGCACATGTTAATTCCTGTACAATCTTTATCATTAAAGATTTAAGTAAATACATGCACTGTTGTAATCTTTGTCTCAAATATGTAAAGTATAACTGCTGTTTACATATTTTAAGCATGCTGGTACCCACATACACGTACACGAAAATTTCCATGGAGGGTGGAATTATACCCCATGGTTTTCACCCTTCATGGGAGGTTTCTGGTCCCTATTAACCATGCAAAACAAGGGATTACTGTAATAAATCAGCGCATGTGCAAATTTCTTCTTTTACTCATCACACTATAAGTGTGTACTCGATCCATCCACCACACTACCCCTAAAAGGCCAATGTATGCATAACAATAATCGCTAGCTTTTATTTTCATTTATTATTTTTATTGTAATTATTTTAGTTTATTCTTATTTTACTATTGTTACTATTGTCATTTCTTGTTGCTCTTTCAAGTAATATCGAGATTTTAGGGATTCAAGGAATTCCAACACACCAACACACATTTCCACGTGATATGGCACAAATACCTGAGGACCTAGGTTAGCTGAGTAAATCCCTCCACTTTTAAAAAGCAAAATAGAACAACAACAATAAGAGGAAAATAAATATGATCAAGAAGATCCTTATTCACTTGTTGAATATGTATAAAGATCCATCCATCCATTTTCCGATCCGCTTATCCTCACAAGGGTCGCGGCGGGTGCTGGAGCCTATCCCAGCCGTCTTTGGGCAGTTAGCGGGGGATACCTTGAACCGGTTGCCAGCCAATCACAGGGCACACAGAGACGAACAACCATCCGGGCTCTCACTCACACTGAGGGACAATTTGGAGTGTTCAATCAGCCTGCCATGCATGTTTTTGGAATGTGGGAGGAAACCGGAGTACCCGGAGAAAACCCATGCAGGCCCGGGGAGAACATGCAAACTCCACACGGGGAAGCCGGAGCTGGAATTGAACCCGGTAACTCTGCACTGTGAGGTCGACGCGCCAACCACTGGATCACCGGGCCGTCGTGTATAAACATGCAAGGTAGAAAAGGTGTGGATGAGGCAGAATGAAAATGCAAGAGCTTTGAGTTTCACATAATGTTTTCAAAGGTAATTTTGTAAAGGAAACAAAAGGACAAAACCTAAAAAGAATAGAGTGTTCGAGAATACAGTGTTCTACGTGCAGGGATGAATGAGCAAGGGCTATGTTGGTAGTTTTGAGTAGCTGAGTTTTAGTAGTTCAATAAATGCTAAGGTCTGAAATCAATAAATCATGATTTCAATATAAAGCAAAAGGAATCGTAATTGTTATTTGTTATGTGATCACCCAGCCCTAATATGAGCCCTCTGATTGGTTAGCACCAAGTTCAGTTTTCCCTGGCTTTCACCCAAAGTCAGCAAGGACAAACTGCAGCTTACCTGTGAGCCCAGTGAAGATAAGTGGTACAGAAAATAGATGAATAAGCATCACTTAATTACCTAAGATTGACATGATGGTTCTCAACCGAGAAGAGATCCTTCTTTTTCTTTTTCAAACTACTGTATATTAAACCTTTTCTTGGGGTGCAGGGCATATAGTAAATACTGGGAACTGCTGATAAAAACAAATGATAAACATGTCGAACAGACAATATTTTACAACAAGCATAAATCAACAAGCCTGTTGCCAAGAAACTGTTGATCTGCTTGATGATCAATAAGATAGCTTGCAACATTTTGCTGACAATCGGCTACCCAATAAAACTGAGGTAGGGAAATGCTGGCGGACAATAATACAGCTTATTCTTAATTTAAAAAAAAGGAATCGGGTATAAGAATACAAGCTACATTTTGTCATGTTCTTCATACCATATCTGTCAGTCTTGCTACTAATTCCTCCACTAAACAACGTGATCATCAAGGCAGTTAACCGTGCCTGCTCTGTGCATTCCTCCGCAACAAGATATCTCAAATCTTGTATGCTTCAACAGAAGAATGGAATTTTCACAACAAACTCACAAATAACTTACAGCCAAATTTTCTCTGATGACTGGGAAAATGTAAGCAATCACCCACCCATCAATTTTCTATACCAATTGTCCTCATCTGAAAAGGTTGTCATATTCTCCACACCTATAAACAATTATAGCGTCATCAATTCACTAACATGCATGATTTTTGAATGTGACCGAATATACTATATTTTGATTTGTTTCTAACTATATTATACATACGCACATGCATGCATACAGGCATACATGCATACATACTGTGTACAGTGTACTGTGTTACTGTGTACAGTTAATTTTTTTAATTTATTTTGTGCGTGCAAATACTTCATGTTTTTCTACTTTCTTCCCTCCAAATGTTGCTGCTGTAAATTGTGAATTTCTCCATTGTGAGACAAATAAAGGTTTTCTTATCTTATACATATGCACAGTACATACATGCATGCATACAGTTGCGGAAATATGGGCTTAAATTGTTTTGCTGCATATTTTTTTTTCTTTGCTTCATTATCGGGGGGGCTAAAATGCTATGCAGTTTGAAGTTTGCCTGCTGCTATGCCTAAACCCTGCATATCCGTCTTTCCTGGATGCCATAACTTGCAAAACATCTTGGTGTCATTATTTAAATTCATGGTGTCATCTCCAGAAAGTACATTCAGAGATGTTCATCCACCCATTTTCACCACCGCTGACTTTGAGCTGAAGGCGACACCCCAAACTGGTCGGCAGTCAGTCAGAGGGCACATGTAGAGACGAACAACCATTCACACCCACGACGACACCGTCACCGAGTGGGAACTGATCCCACGCTGCCCGCTGACAAGTCAGGCGAGTGTACCACTACACCATCAGCGACTTAACCCGAGATGGTAAGGTAAATAATACTGTCATTGCTCTTGTTTTGAGTGCCCAGTGTCACAGGTGACCTCACTAGAGGGAAACATAACACAACAAAAGTCCCAATAGCACAAAGTGCTCTCCTTAAGATGAACCCAAGTAAATAAATGTTCGCCTTCCGTGGTTGTGTTACCAGCATTGCTGCAAGGACTGCGCACTGCACTTTATTAAGATTAATGTTCAAACATGGTTACAGTCATTGTAACGAATCTGGGGTAATTGTGTACTGGTAAGTTTTAAAGTACAGTACCTTAATGTTATTTCAACATTTTTCCTTGAAACAAAATTTAACAAAGAGTCATTTGTGTTCAATGGGTGTATTGCATGTTAGATGACACTTACAAAGAGGTGTTCTGTATAAAAGTTTTAATGTATGCTGAAGGAAAATATCGACTATATTAATGATTCATTTAGTTGATGAAAATTGCTCTGTTTTCGTCGACCAAAATTGGAATAAAGCTAAAATACAATCAGATGACTAATTAATTTTAGTCTGAAAAGTATTCAACTAAATTAAAATTTCTCGTCAAAATGAACACTGGCTGGTAGGTTAATCTAATGGAAACCATCCATCAGGTGAACAAATATGAAGATAACTATAAAGGACATCTGGAGTCAAAT